AATTATGTATCCAAAAAAAGGTCACTGAAAATTTTTAATTAATCTTTTTAATACTTTCAAAAATAATTACCCAAATAAAAAATATAAATATTAGAACTGAGTAAACCAAAGCTTATAGTCATTAATAACAGATAAATTTTTAAAGATTAATCATTTTATAAATATTTTTTAATGTAAATAAAGAAATATTATATGGAACAGAAGTTAATCTTTTAATAGAAAAAGATTTAAAAAAAATAGTATTAGTAAAAAAATAAGAAGAATATATTATATAATAGTAGTTAATTTTTGAATCAAAAGAAATAAGAATTATATTGTTCAAATATATCTATCAAATAATAAAAGAAAAAATAGAAATATTAATACAAAATCTAGAAGCTGATTCAAGAAAAGTTGAAAAAATGTATTCATATAGTTATTATAGATAATTTTAATACAGCTTATAATTTTTTAAAAAAAAAAAAACAAATAATCAATTAGATAGAATGCCACAAGTTGAAGTAAAATTGATTATTGTGAATATTTCATAATATGTCACAATTTCTAATAATCCACTTTAAAAATCAAGATCTATTAGTTATAACAAGAAATAATTCCATTATACTAATGATAACATTATAAAACAGCAACCTTTTTACAAAAAATAAAATTCTTAGACAATTCAATAGAACTATTAAAACAATAGACATAAAAAAATTTACAGAAGAATAGTAGAAAAACTATTAGTAAAGTGTGATAATCTTTTAAAAAAACCTTGAATTGTTTTTTTTTCTCTTTTTCTAGTTTAAAATTGACAATTTTTTGATTTTTTAAAATAATCTACAATAATAAATTATTAATAATAATTCTAATAGATAGATATTTAATATCAATCTATTAGAAAAGTAAAATATTGTTTTCTAAATATGACTCAAAATATCTAATTTAAACCTTATTTTATTTACAGGAGTCATAAAGATCCTGTATAAGAAATCCCCAATACCGGTGGTGCTGGATATCTTAGGCAAGTTCTTGATACGTTAGTTTCCCCTATAAACGGGGATAGCAACAAGTCATCCAGTAGACCAAGGTTTTAGGAAGTGCCGATTCGACTAGGAAGAGGTAACACAAGTGGACGGTACCCCATTAAATTGGTTGGTTAAAATACTCCCCTTATCCCTCTGACTTTGTTAAGAATTAAGAAAAACCCTATACTAGACGATCACATAGTTCCCCTATCCTGGTTGGGTGAGATGTAAATAGATGCCCCTTGTACTATTCGTTGATCTATAAATCCTTAGACAGTACAGGTAATTACTCATCCCGGTTGTTCTTAGGATCTATCTTAATAATTAATAAAGCGTCGATGCAGGTGCAAGAATGAGCTAGCATAGTGAAAAAAAAAAAAGAAAAAAAAAAAAACCTTATTTTATTTAATTCAAACTAACTTAATAAATTTCTTATATTTTTTAAATAATATAATCTTTCAATTAATAATATACAATAATGAGTTAGCTATCCTGTGATAATCTATATAATATTGTAGATGTTTTTTTAATGTCTCAATAAAGACATACCGTGATGCATGATTGAAGGTTAAAAATAAAATTCTTTTATTATATTTGAAATTTATATTAAAAAAAAAAAATTTTTTTTTTTTTTTAGCAATATATAATTTAAAGCAATAATAATATATAATCAAATATAATGTATGGTTTTTTGTCGTGAATTTCTTAAAATTAGAGTATTTAAGATTTAAATACAGTAAATATAAAATGCTGTAAATAATAATAATAATAAAAATAAAATGCCGAATTGATAGGGGTCTATTTTATTTTTTTAAATGGTTCTCGTGTTTTTCTCAATACATGATATTCTTATTCTAGGTCATATCTAAACGACATCGCCTTTGTCTTACCAGTTTTCTCATTCTTTGCAGTAGCCGATATTCCCACGTGGCAAAATTTAAAAGTAAACAAGAATGTAGCATTCCTTTCACTTTCATCCAACTTGACCTCCCATCTTCGAAGCAATCTTATTTCAGGGTCATTGAAATACTTTGAGTCTTTGGATGATGTAATATACATATCCATGTTTATTTTTTCTTGGCTTAATGAATGTGGCTTAAACCGTTTCATGACGCATTCGTTTAATCTGACTTGTTTACCACGTTCAACAAGTTTCTCGAACACCTTTATGTACCCATTTGGAAGCCTTTGTGAAGGGGGGTCAGTTGGAGTCCACTTTCTCATCACGTCGGTACCTAAATAAAGAAAAAAGATCATAAGTAGCTCCTCAAAAAGAAATGTTGCGATCACATTGGTAGTACCATAAGTCCATCTTAACACGCGATTCTTTACAATTTCTTCCGAGAGGCCGAGTCTTACAGCTTACGTGGTTTAGGAGGAATAAGAACGTTATGTCAACAGATCTTGATAAAAGAAATCCAAAGAATCATCCGACCCACCTCCTTTCATAACAGCTATAATAGGATGAATAGGCACCGAGATATTTGGTACCACGCTTAAGAATTCCTCTCTAATTCTGTTTTGTAGGTACTTTGATTCACTGAATCCACCTACCAACAAAATTAAAGAAATTTCCTTTTCACTCCGTTCCAACTGTTCCAATTGATCCTTGACTAGTCTAATAATTCTTCCTATAACGGGGTCAAACATATGTTTGACATCTTCAAAACTGAATTTAATCAACCATTCATCTTTTTCCAGACTATCCTTTTTCTCTTCGTCAACATATTGTCTTATTGTTCCGTAATCTTCTAAATCAATTTCAGGAGGGTTGAAATCCTCTTCTCTTCCCGTAAATGGAATTTTGACGTTTTTGCAAAAATCCAGCACCATCTGTTGTAGGTAACGGTAATAATCTCTCTTGAGAGTATCGATGGCCGATTCCCCCATCTTATTGCCAAGAAATTCGATGTACGCCTTATCTACAAAACATGACCCACAACAATCGCCTGTACGTTCAGTTATCTCACTTAATTGATCGTCTTCCAGCAATTCTCGTACCGTCAAGTCCACCGTTCCACCGCCGCAATCAACCACCATAAACAAGTCTACATGGCCAATAAAGATGAATCATAACCAAGATAGATAGAGCTATAAAAATAGACAGATACGGTATTTCGCACTAACCTCCTGGATTCAAATGATATTCCCCTCTCAGGGAACCCATACAGTGAATTGCAGCGGCTTCGGCTTTAAAATCAAAAAGATTTTGTGAGGGCCTCGAATGGATTGATTCGAAACTTGTTTCTTATCGTACATACATTCAATAACTGAATAATACGTACGCATACGCGCACACATTTAACTTACGCTCAGTTGTAAATATTAAGTTGCTACTGTTTTGTTCTTTAATAAGACCGGCGTTAAATACACATTCGCGCATCACTGCGATTGCGTTATCGCTGAATTCAGCGGGAACCTTGAAAAAGAAGACTAGGTTACAATTAAAAGTCTTTACAGAAAGGAAATTGCAAGTTCCTTTTTTTGTTTCTTTACCGTAAGTACAATGATGACTTGGCTGTAGAAGTCCAACGTTAACCAATGATTTCCCACGGTTCTTACAACGTCTGCGCCTAGTTTTTCTAAGTAGTCTTTAATAACTCTTTTATAATCCAATCCATCTGGTAGGATTGCTTCGCCACTATCTCTAAATGATCTTTTTAGTAAATGCAATTTAAACAATTCGATCGGCCTCGGTGAGGGTTCAAGAAGTCGTCTTCTACCAATCGGTCTCTTTGCTAATGCAGGTAATCCCCATGATTCTACTGTCGTGTAAGAATCATCATACTTTATGACCGTCGGCGTTTTGAAACACGCCCCAATTTCTCTCCAATAATCCTGCACCATGATTTCACTAGGATTGGATTTATGAGCAAACGCAAATCCCTTAAGTTGAAAGAATACGAATTGTTAAAAAAATAAAAATAAAATAAAAATAGAACAAATTAATAAATAAATAGATTAGTTGTTAAATAGCAGTATCTTACAGAATAAGTGGTCCCAAAGTCTGATGTACATTGTATAGGTTGAACCAATTTAAACGGGAAGAAATTAATTTCAGTGCGTTCTTTGACTTAAACCACAGATCGAACCTACCAATGGCCACTACAACGCGAATGTCGGACATTTCTAACAAAATTCTCGAACAGATTGACTTTAGTCACGTCAACGCGTTCAATTTATGATTGTATTCAAGTTATTGTTTTAATGGCCTGAAATAAGACTGCGTTATCTTCATATACAGATTTAATGATTAGGAATCGAGATGGAATTCCTTTGTCTCTAACAATGAATACATTGTTCAATGGTAACAATGATTTCTCTTGTGTGGGAAGTTATACGTACCCATTAAAGAACAATTTTAGAAAGTCATTAATGACAAATTAGGCTATAATGGAAACTTTAAAAAATGATTTTTACTATGCACACATGCAAGTTTGTGATAGAATCGAATAAGGTGTTGATCCAGTCACTTATTATTTCCCAAAGTTAATAGAGGTCATCCCTTACCCAATCGTTGGTAACATTTATATAGTACGGTTTTTCGAGTTCTCCAATTCTTTTCCGCCAGTTATTCTTTCATTAAACTCGCGTCTTGATTTGATTGAATGCTAATTTTATTATCGCTTATTGAAAATGTCAATGGATATTCGCGTAGTGGTCGGACTAGGTAGGATCTTGCAAGTGGTTAAAACATTCGCCGACGTTTAACTTAATCGCTGACTTGATGTAACTTTAGATTTTGGAACGACATACTCCGTAATTTGTTTCTTTTTTAAAAAAATTTATACAGTATTTCTCGTTTTTTTGTGCATACCAATAGTATGGAAAAAAATTTTTTCTTTCTCTTTAAACAGGGATTCACCTATCATCATGTTGATGATGATGAGGATTATGTCACGAATAATGAATGGCCCGGAGAAAGGGTACGCATTTGTTCGTCATTTAATTTTACACTGTTATCTCATAAGGGTTATTAAAAATTTTCAAAGGGTCAATGCGAATTTAAAACGAACACCGTGTTAAAATATGAAGAAAATTTGGTGGATGTCAAGGCATGGGGGTACCCTGCCTTATATAGACCTCCGAGCCGGAGGTCGGAAAGAGACGAACGAGCTTATGTGGTAGAGCTATTTAAACTATACTTAGGTGAAGAGCATCAACGAAGGCCCCATTTGGCTGTGAATTATGAAAGGGCAATTATCGATTATCTTCGGGAGATTGGGATAGTAAGTGCAAGAAATTCGATATCAATTATCATTTTCAATCGGTTGATCCTTTTCCTCTCATTAAAGTGTATCAAGGAAAAAATCACAACCAATTTCCCCGAAATTGGATTTTTGGAAAACGTTCTTCTTGTCCTTACCATTCCCGCCGAATATTCGGAGGAAGCAAAAGCTACAATGAGAGATTGTGCATACAAAGCAGGATTGATTAGAGACAGAACCTCCGAACAATTACAATTTACCACCGAACGTAAGGAACAGCATACTTTATTTCAAATGATCGCAATCAAACATATGACCTATTGTTCACTTCTAATCTGGTAGCCGAAGCCGCAGCAATATATTGTATCGATAGTCTCAGAGAACACGATCTGGACGTTGGAGGTATGTATGGTAGAATTAAAACTCATGTTTCTTCCCATTTCTGTCGGGTTACACAATACTCGTACACACAGCAACCTTTATGATCGTCGATTGTGGCGGTGGCACGGTAGATTTGACAACGCGAAAACTATTGGAAGGAGGCAGGCTAGGCGAAATCACGGAAAGAATAGGCGATTACTGTGGAAGCACCTTCATCGACGCCGAATTTATTAAATACCTAAAAAACGAACACAACCTCGGAGATGCCATTGACTCGATGGAGATAAACTATTATGGGCAAATGCAATATTTGATTCAAGAATTTTGTCGGTACGCGAAATTACCATTTACGGGCGATGATCCGAATTTTTATTACGAAGTGGATCTTGAAGTTTTATCGGAATACGCGAACGATGAAGTGAAAGAAGCGATGGGAGCCATCGATTGGGTGGTTAAACTTGACTCTGCAACTATCAAATCAATGTTCGATCCAATCGTTGAAAGAATATTGCGCATGATCCACATTCAACTTGATAACTCCCACGAGGAATGCTCAGTAATGTTCTTAGTTGGAGGTTTCGGTCAATCGGCGTATTTACGAAACAGAATTAGACAGGAATTTCAGCATCGCGTTCGCAATATTTCTGCTCCCACGAACCCGATTGCGGCAATTTCCCGTGGCGCTGCAATTTACGGGAGAAGTTTTCGCGGTGCTGACGGTATGATAGATATAGATGGTATGAAATCAATTATAGATTCACGTGTGTTAAAATTCACCTATGGTGTTAAAGTATTATCGGTTGGTTCCGACGAAGAAACGGGTGGCAAATTTCGTTTTTCTACTATCGTGCAGAAAGGAACTGAAGTGAGTACTGACGAGGGGTTTGGCAGGGAGTTTTCTCCAGCCCTTCCCTTTCAAAAGTCCGCATTGTTTGAAATTTATTATACACGCCGATACGAAGCAAAATCTATCGATGAACCAGGAATAAGGTTACTTGGAAAACTTAAAATTGATTTGCCGGATGTGAATCTTGGGACAGAAAGGCCCGTTGCTTTTAGGTTGACATTTGGCAGAATGGAAATTACGGCGACAGCGAATAATAAAATCAATGGTCAAAGTTATCAGACTACTTTCGAAATAGATAGGGAAGAGCAGAGAATTAATACTTTTTAAAAGCGAAAGGTCAATAAATAAATAAATTAACCGACTTAAATTTTTTTGCGGAACAATAATAAATTCTCTTTATTTATAAATTTCGCGAATACTTATAAATAAATACAGGTTATAGAAAAATTTGATATTGTATAAAAACGTTCTTTGTATTTCGCCACTATCGTACCATAAAATTGAACTTATTACGTTTCAGAATTACAACTGATTTTTTGTGGAAATATTCTTGCGGGTGTGTATATTTTTTGGTCCTTGGATTTCAAATTTGACCCGAGCATCGGAAAGTAACAGATGCCTACACGTAAATGGTCGACCTCATCATCATCCCACTTTCCTTCCATCGAATTCGCATCAATAATATCACCTTTAGGGAAAAAATAATATTCCAACATTGGTTCTTGAACCTTCATGCGAAACAAAAATAATTTTGACGCTTCTCGGACAAGTTTAGGTGCCATCGATTCGACCTGGGTTCTCTTATCGGCATCATTGATTTTGCGATATTCATTTATCATTTTGTTGAGCTCTTCGCTAACAACAGATACAAAATTATGTTCAAGAATTTCGCTGCTTTCGCTATGGACTGTGTAGTTGAATCCACGGCTACCCAAAATTCCATAAACTTGCTGACGTATTTTTATTATTGTTGCACCAGTAACTTTGTCAGTTCCGTCACGAGTTTCCGATAATGTCGCGATCGACCGTAACAAGTCTTGAGCTTTCGCATCAATATCCGTTTCGAGATTCCAATTTGCACCTCGATATTCTCTTGACTTAATAAAATAATGAAGTATGAAGTTCCATATTTTGAGCTGTAACATTGCTTTGATAAGAGGTTTATCTAGATTTTCTTTTGTAATTTCATTTGGATAACCGTAGTCTTTAGCAAGGGCTTGTACCTTTTCAATGTTAATATCCATATTTGGTTTCAAGTGAGTTACATAATTTTCAAACGTGGTCTGCAAATTTTCGATGTCCCTCTTCAATTGAACCGAATGATTTTGATCGTTATCGCTAAGACGAATATTTGTTGCGACACCAAGCGCTGACTGATATTTGGATGCTTCTTTTCTGAGCTTGGCGTTCTCTTCCTCCAATTCACGCAAGCCATTTCCCTCTTTATCTAATTTTTGGTTTAAAGTATCAACATTCTTCTTATAAGTCTCTCGTGCTACCTGAAGTTTTTGTTCATAACGCTTTATTATATTTTCTCCATGTTTCTCCAAATTCTCTATATGCCTGTTCCTGTTTTCTAATTCTGCATTGAGATTTTGTCTAACACTCTCCCATCGTTCCTTTTCCTTTATTAATTCTTGGTTTACTTTCTTCCATTGTTCCTTCTCTTTTTTCCATTGTTCCGCTTGCTTAGCTAATTCTTGTTCATGTTCTCTTCTCTGTTGCTCTTTTTCCCTGATCAACTTTTGCTTTTCTTGTCTTTCTTTATTTACGGATTTTTGTACTCTACTCTCGATCATTCCCTTCTCTCCGTTCCACTTTTGTCGGTCTTTATCCCATTGGCCTTTCTCCTCCCTCCATTTTTGTCTTTCCTTATCTTGTTGTTTCATCAATTCTTGTCTTTCTTCATTCCATTTCCTCGTCAATTCTTGTTTCTCTTCGTTCCACCTCTCTTTCTCCTCGATCAATTTTTGTATTTCTTTATTCCACTGCTCTTCCTTCTCGAGTTTTTCTTTATCACACTGTACGTTTTGCTTTCTTTCTAAAATAAACTTTTCCCTTTCGCTATTCCATTTCTCTTCCTTCTCAAATAATTCTTGCTCTTTTTCGTTGATCAACTCCCGTCGTTCCCTTTCCCATCGTTTCTCTTCCGATTTTCCTTTCTCCATCAATTCATCGTAATCTTCTTTTAATCTGTCTAGATTTTGTCTGAGATTATTTATGCAATCATCTTTTTCTTTTATTTGTTGTTTGATGTCTTCCGGGTTATTCTCAATATCATCGGAAGTATCATTTTTTTTCTTCCGGCGAAGTAGATTTAGTAAAGAAAAATCAAACGTCATAAGCGAAAAATGTCTCAACAGTGTATTCCTCTTAGATTATTTATACGTGATACTTTTTCGCAAGCAAATGTGACAACTGTATTTTATCACCTTTTGCCATAAATGCATTCTTTGCTCCATTATTTCTAAAAAAACTTTCTGTCGCACAAAGTTCCATTATTTCCAAAAAATTTCTGTCGCATTCCTTTCCAAAAATATTCTGTCATGTGAAGTTGCACAGAAACTTCATTATTTCCGAAAATTTTCTGTCGCGTGAACTTGCGTAAAAGCCCATGGTTTACAATAGATATTTCTTCCATTACGAAATAAATGAAAACTTTTTTTTGAAAAAAAAAAAACGCCTAGTGCAGATAAATGGAATGTAAAAAACGCCGAGTTTACACAAACGCCTACTACTTATCGTAGATTTTTTCCATCACAAATCCCGAAAGGTCTTCATAAGATTGCTATATAAAACCACATAACCCCAACAGATAATGTTGCCTGTAACTATAAGAACCAACTACTCCGTCGCTTTTCAGAACCAAAAATATAATGGAAGTTGATCTTTGCTTCGTTGTGGATTGCACAGGTTCTATGGCGAGTTACATTACAGCCACCAAGGAATGTATATTAAGGGTGGAAGATTATATGGGGAAAATGGAACCAAAAATTAAAGTTCGGTTTGGTTTCTGTGGATACCGCGATCACTGTGATTCCGACCGCCTTCAAATTTTAGATTTCACCGAGTCACGCCGTGAATTCGAAGAATACGTACAAAATAATGTTTCAGCCACTGGGGGTGGAGACACTCCGGAAGACGTTCTGGGCGGTCTCAATGCCGCCATAACTCAAATGACCTGGCGAAATAACATCCGTGTTCTTTTGCACATCTGTGATGCCCCGCCTCACGGTCGCCGCTTCACTGACGTTAGTGACGACTACCCAGAAGGTGATCCGAATGGTCTAACTGCTGAAATAGTATTGAGAAACATGAGATCAAAAGGGATATCCTACTTTTTCGGGAAAATTACAAGTTATACTAACAAAATGGTTGAGATATTCCGAAGCATACTCGGAGATTTTGATGTGTTTGATTTTAGTGAAGGAAAAGAGAAACCAGAAGAGTTAACATTTAAATTTTTTGAAGCCACGTGTTCAGCTATCACTACTGCGATATCTTTGGCATAATACGCCAGTCAAATTGATTGTTAAATAAAAAATTTGAATAAACAAGTTTAAATACAGTGTTCAGAAAATGAAATCATATAACAATGTATGCTAGGAATTATTTTTTCCCTTCACATAATCGTTGTTTATTTCTTCGAGACTTCTTCCTTTTGTCTGGAAAATTTTTGCATTATGAACATGAGATTAAGGTAAATGTTCGAAATGTCACAAAAAACATTATCAATAGACATACCTCCGGAATAAAAAGTGAGGCGAACCCGGACACGGCAGTAATTGCTGTGAACACGAAGAAAGTATATCCCCTCAGCATATCTTGAAGTATCGGGAATGTCAGTCCAACCAAGAAAGCGCACAACCAGTTAACTCCTAGGCACATTGACCCACCAGCGCTCACACAGTGGGTTGGCAATAATTCTGTCAAGAAAGACATTTTATGAAAAGAAAAGGTTGAAGCTGTTGTTTGCGCAGAAAGTCATAAGGTCGTACCTGAAATTATTAAATAAGGAATTGGACCGAGTCCGATCGCAAACGAAGAGACAAACAATAACACTAACACGCAGACGAAAGCAACAGGTCATTTCAAAGATTCTTTCTTAACTAACAGTTATCCATGGAAGATCACGAATAATTACCAGCAACCACAACTAACACATTGTAGTCGAATAATGACCCGACTGCCACTAAAGTCGACGAGATGCACATTCCCATCTGTGAGGCTATAAGCAGTGGTTTACGGCCTTTCTTGTCGATCAAATAGCTAGCAACCAATGTCATTATCAAGTTTACAATGCCAACACCTATGGTCGCATATTTCGCATTTGTACCAAATACTTGAAGAAAAATCGCGGTACTTATTTTCGATTGAGATGATGGTGACGCGATATTTGAATATTTTGTCAAGAAAATTTACTGTATAGAAGGTTTTTTTTCGCATGAATAAAAAGTACCTGTAAAATATGACTCCATTTATTCCGCATAGTTGCTGAACAGCATTCAATCCAACGCAAATCAAAAGCATCCTTCTACAATCCAGGTCTTGAATCATTTGACGCAAATTCAACGATCTCTTCGCCGAAAACGGTGCATTACTATTGCTAGCATCTCCAATGGTGTTCTCGTCAACTTCTCCACCATCCTGTCCCTCGACAATCTCTCTAAACTCATTATCTATATTATAACCATCTCTTAATTGTTGCAAAGCGTCTTTCGCTTTGATCAGTCGATGTCGCGAAATCAAATACCGTGGCGACTCGACACACAATGGCAGTAATAATAACTGAAGTAACGCGGGAATTATGGTTAATGCAAGCAGAATTCGCCATCCTGGAACGAAAGATAGGACGAGACCGAAGAGTTGAGAGATTAAGATTCCGATAACAATGAATAGTTGGTTTGTTGTGCCCAAGGCACCACGTGATTTTATGGTTGCTATCTCACCCAAATAGGTCTTATTTCGAAAAGGCCAGAAAATATTGGGAGTGTTAGATCAGCATTATTCCCCCCAAAAAAGAAAGAAAAAAAAATTACTACACCGAAACGACCACCGATCCAATGCCACTTCCGATACCCGTGAGAATACGTCCCACCACAAACATCACAGGATGTACGGCGGTTCCCAACAATAACCCACCAAAGATCCAGCTTAGTATATTAAATGCTAAAGTGTTACGCCTGCCGTAGAGAGCTTGAAAATGACCTGCCGAGAGACTACCGATAAGACCACCGAGTGCATAACTCCCCACAGAAAACCCCCTATGATTGCGAAATTGTAAAATTAAAATCTTCAAGAGACATTCGCCTACGGTTTTTGTAGCATACCATAAAAAATTGTTCATTGGAAGACAATCTGGTAGTTTTTCTTGATAGCTAGGTGTACAGTTTCTAATGATTTGTTCTTTTATTACGAAAGTTTTGGGTTAGCCATAAACTCTTTAATTGTTAAATTATTGCAAGATCACCTACCAGGAATATTCGTGACTCCAGTATTCCAACCATTCTCAAACGAGGCCGCGACAGTAACGAATGCAACAAATAAACAGTATGATGGAAAAGTTGCGAACTTGGAGTCGAGCGATTGACGCGATGAACTTGTTGAATTCTCGTCTAGAGGTGGTTCGTTGTCAATCGGATTTATAATGGTGGATGAGGATATTTGATGCAGAATTGATGACTCTCGGTTAAGATTGATGGACATTTTTTAGATGTTGGTGGAAAGAACCAGTAATCAAAAAATCTTTTTTAAACTATATTTTTAATTTCCGATACTAATTTTTTTCTTTTTCTTTCTTTTTTTTTTGCAATTGGGAGATTGATTACGGGCGGATGATATCATAACCTCGATGTTTCTTTACAACAACTATATCATAATTACCATCTTATAAAAACTTTTATACAAGATCATTATATAGTATAACTAAATATACATATACAGTATATACAGTATATGTACAGTATATACAATAAACCCGATTATATTTTATTTCGCTGTAAAAAATCGATCAAACAATGATAATATAAATCTACAGTATAATAAAATTTATTACTAGAAAACTCATTAATAAAATCGCCTATAAATTTCTGCTAATTCATAAGATTACAGATTTTTTAAATAACTTCATATCGAATTTGAATATAAAAATCTAAAAATAATCAAATCGGTAAAATGGAAATTAAAAAATTTTGAAAATATTATTTCAATAATAAAATAAATAATATACTGTAGTATTATAACACGAAATTATTTTTTTCTAAAAAAAGAGTCATTTATTTTTTATTAACAAAAATTAAATTATGATAAAAATTTTTTAATATATTTAAATAATATAATTTAATATTGAAAATATATTTTTTAATAATTAATACTTTACTTTTTTTAACCTACAATTTATTTAAAAATTAATTAGAAATCTAATATAATTAGATTTTTTTTACAAAATAACTAATTCATCTTCATACAAAAATACTTTAAGTTTGATTTTGAAAATAATATTATACTCTTCTAGTTGAATTGGATTTATTTCTATTTACTAGGATTATTAAATTTTCAGGTGATAAAAAAGTTACTATTTGTTTAAGTTAAGATCTTTCTTTCTTATTATTCTAACTTGACAAATTCAAAATCAAGATTTTTTTCTTATTTCTATTAGATAATAAAATTAAAAGTCTTTAGTTCATGCTAAGTTTTAACTTTTTGGTTATGGTTGAAAATATATTTTCTTAAAGTTATAAAAGAACATTATAATCAATAAGATTTATATTTTTATATTATTACAAGAATAATAAAAAATATTCATCAGTAAAATTTCTTTAATTAAATATAACTATTAAAAAAATATTATATTAAAACAACATAATTTAGTTTTTATCGAATAATATAAAAATTTGAAATTTATTATAAGTAACTTTTTTATTATAAATAAATATAAAATCATTACTTAAAAAGATTAAAATCAAATATACTTTTGAAAATAAAGATTTTTAGTAAATAATAAATATCTTTAAATAGTATATAAAAAGAAAATAAAAAGAAAAAATGAATAAGTTTTTCAAATAATTTATAAAAAAAAGAATATTACAATAAAATATTTCTTATTGAAAAGAATTTTTGAAAAAAGATTTTCAAAAAAAGCTGAAATTTTTATTTTTTATTTATTTATTTTTTTATAATATACTTATATATTTTTATATATTTTCTCCTTTCTTTATTTTAATTTATTTTTTTATAATTTCTTATATTTTAGTAATTTAATAAAATATATAATAATAACAACTTGCTAACAATAATATATAAACTAAAAAAATATTTATTTAAAATTTTTATAGATAAAATATTGTTTTTAAAATCAAATTTAGAAACTATTAATATTTATAACAAGTTAATTAAATTACTTTATAAAAGTTTAACTATAATATATAATATTACTTGAATAATAATATACTGTAATAAAAATAGCATCTACTACTATTGGATAGTTATTTTTAGTCATGATCTCCATTCTATTTCTATTTTTATCTATTTA